TCTGGGATGTGATGGGCGATTTTGAAAAGCTTTTTGATGATGATGGTTTGAAACTTTCTGATGTGATGGTTTTTGAAAGTTCCTTGAATGATTAAAAGTAATATCTTGAAAGCGGTTTTCAAAAGGTTTTTGAAAAGATTTTGGTTTTTGTTTGGAAACCTGTTTATGAGGTATGACGTTTGGTTTCTTTGGTTGTTTTTCAAAAATGTTTGGCTTGATTAGTGGGGTTTTGGTGACTTGAATGGATTTTTTGCTTGTTTGTTGTTTCTTGGAGTATTTTTGTCCCAGACTAGTTTTTCCAACAATTGATGAAGTCATTGTAGGAAAAGCAGTTGGTATAGAAGTACTACCATCCTCATAAGAGGAATTTTCTCCATTCAAAAAGTTTTTGAGTTTAGTGGTTCCATCGGTATTTTTGATTTGGTGAGTTAAAGAACTTGCAGAGTCTGTTTCAGAATTTACAACTCTTTTGAAAGACTTTTTGGAAACACTGAAAGCAGTATCATCTGGACTACAGTTGATAACTGTTTCTTCATCTGAATCTTCCTCATTAACAGATGTGAAAAGATTAGGTAGAGTAGATTCAGAGTTTTCACAATTCGTCATGTTTTCCTGTTTTGCTTGTTCAATTTCAAAGGATTCTCTTCCAATTCCTGGTCTATAATTCGTATCAATTTTGCCAGTTCCCAAGGTGTTTGCCTTGGTGAAAATATCATCACTTAGCTTTCTGGCAACTTTGATAGAATCCATATTCCATATCAGTCTTTTATTCTCGGTTTCAAGAGAATTGATTTGTTTTAAAGAATCAGTCAGCTTTTCATTTAAAACATTGTATTTGTCAGTTGATTCTTGAAAGTCTTGTTTCAACTGAAGGATTTCCATTTCTAAAACATCTTTTATTTCAGAAGAAATGACTGACTGATTTTTTAGTTCCAAATCCCTTTTCTGAATTAGGGTCTGATTTAATTGTTCCAAGACGTGATTATAATCTTCTGATTTTCTTTCAACGTCTCTTTCCAATTTGCTTTTCGTTCTTGTTGATTCTCCAAATTTGAGTTGCAAGGTTTGTAACTCAGATTTGCAAATATCATAATTGACCATTGTGTCATGATATGTTTTGAGATCAACTTCCAGACTAGTCTCAATTTTGGTTATGTGGGACTCAAAAATTGTTTTGGAAAAACCAAGTTCAGAGATCATAGACCATACCTGTTCTATGACGTTTGGAGCTCTTGAAGGTATTTCAACACCAGCTACGAAGCAGAAGTTTGATTGTGTTGGTTCGTGTTCAGCTTCGTCATCAGAAGTTGGCCAGTATTCCACACTTGGTTCATGGATTGCCATCAATGCTCTTTGCTTTTCTTGGTTTTCCAGTTTCTTCAATTCATCGGCTCTTTGAGCATAGTATGCTGAGTCTTTGATTTTGGTTTTGTTTTTGGCTCGACATTCTCTGGCATAGTGATTTGTTCCTTTGCAGTTGTGACAAATGATCACTTCTTCATCACTATCATCCTTTTGACTTTTAATCGGAAGTCTTTCAGGTGTTTGAGTTTGGGCTTGTTGGGAAGGTTGAGAATGGTTTTGTTGGAATCCAAAATTTTGGTTTTTTGAAAACCATTGTTTTGATTGTTGTAACCTTGATTTTGGAAACCTCTGTTTTGATTTTGAAAACTGTTGTTTGGATTGTGATTATGACCTGAGTTGGGATCGTTTTGAAATCCCTGGTTTTGAAAACCTTGGTTTGAGTTATTTTGGAAAGAAGGTCTTTGAGAATTTTGTCCAAAGTAAGGTCTAGGTTGAAAACCTGAGTTGTTTTGACCAAAAGATGGCCTTGGTTGAAAACTTGAGTTATTTTGTCCAAAAGATGGTCTTGGTTGAAAATTTGGTCTAAAATTTGATTGACCATGATTTGGGATAAATCTCTGGAGATTTGTGTTTGCAACCAACGCACACAGTTGTTGATAATCTGCTTCATCATTTGAATCAGACTGGAAGGCTTGGTTTTGAAAAGATGTAGTCTGATTAAATGATTAAAGTTTTGATCATTGAAAGGTGTTTGGTTTTGAGAAGTTGTGGACACAAGTGCAAGTGGTCCTCCAAAAGCTGCAATGGTTGGTGGGTCAATCGAGGATTCATACGATTGAAGTTCTCCATACAAGTTGTACAAAGTTTCAGTATGAATAGCTGGATTTCCCTGAATAATGAGTTTAACCATTTTCCAGCTTTCGAAAAGATTGTTTAAAAACTTGAGATTTATCTCGTGTTGTGTCTTTTTGATACCCAAATTGTTCATTTTAACCATAATCAAATTGAACCTATCATGAGCATCATGGATGGTTTCTGATGAAAGCATTTTGAAATTATCGAATTCATTCAAAACAGATGTTCTTTTGTTTCCGATAATTCTTTTATTTCCACAAAAACGATTTTTCAAATTCTCCCAAATTTGATTTGCGGTTAACAGTATAATGTCATCCATTTGACTTAGAATACTGTGAGGTATTCCAGAAACAAGTTCCTTTTTGGCTTGGAGTTCCAACTTTTTTGTAATTTCAACTTGAGTGGCTTGATTTGTAGCAAGAGTAGCCATATTTTCTGGAGTAACAAATGTTCCTTCTACACACTTCCAGACATCTTCATTTATAGCATTAAGATGAAGATTCATACGGCCAACCCACGAATTATACTCTTCAGGAATAAGTATGGGTGCCCGTGAACCAGATCCTAAGCTATTTGCAATGGAGACAGAGTTCATGTTGGAGTAATTTGCCAAAGACATTTTTTTTGAAAGGATTTTGAACAAGTGATATTAAAATGAAATTTTTAAAGAAAAGCTTATGGAAGGTTTATAAACGCTATAACCAAAAGTTTTTCGACAAAAATTTCAAGGTAAATCACACAAGCTCTGATACCAATTGTTGGATATTATTCCTTTTATATATCAGCTCAGATACCGATTTGTTGGAAATATAACAATCTGATCACCACAACAAAAGGCTCGGTTACCAGTTACTGTGTGACAGATATATTAGTTTAAGATATAAGATAGATATATATATATATAAAGAATAAGAATTGCGGAATAAGTATAAATATGAAAGCTGTAAATGACTGAAAGCAATAATAATATAAATGACTGTATTTAAATGACGTAAAGCTATAAATAATATAAATGACTGTATTTAAATGACATAAAGCTATAAATAATATAAATGACTATATTTAAATGACATAAAGCTATAATAAAGTATATAAATATATAAATATATATATATATATATATATATATATATATATATATATCAAGTAGGTTCGTCAATAAATTGACTGAACTGGACTCATGAAGCGACTGGTCGATATTTGTTCTTTGAATGGACTGGTCGATATTGGGACTCTTGGAGCGACTGGTCGATATATGTTCTTTGAATGGACTGGTCGATATTGGGACTCTTGGAGCGACTGGTCGATATTTGTTCAAAGATCAATCCGGCATTGGATAAGTAACAAAAAGTTCATTTAAAGCTCGATTTTATGTAAAACAAGTGTTTACAAAAGGGTACAAAATACATGGGTTTATGTATTTGTATTTGAAGTATTTTTGGGTAAAAATGCACACGGGTCGTGTAAGATAAGGCACAAGTGACACGGGTCGTGTAGGAGGGTTTTGGAGGGTTTTCTTGAAGAATGATGCTGACACGGGGCGTGTTGATTTAGCCTTGCTGAACACGGGGTGTGTTCATGATGCTGATGCTGACACGGGGTGTTGATTTAGCCTTGCTGAACACGGGGCGTGTTGAGGTTCAGAAGTATGAAGAAGGCAATCAGAGGGCAACACGGGGCGTGTTGATTTTGCCTTGGTTTTTAACACGGGGCGTGTTCGTGTCAGAGTCAATTTCGGGATTTTTGTGATTTGAAGGTAAGTTTTGTTTGTGATGTTTTGGCTAGGGTAATGGTGTTAAGGTGTTTTGAGGATGTTTTCAAGGTTGTTTAGAGGTTGGAAGGAGGTTTATATAAGGTGGTAAAGGTGGTGAAATTTCTCATGAAGATGATGATGAATAGTGATGGGTTTGTGGTTGATCTTGATGCAGAAGGTTTTGGGTTGTTTCATGGTTGTGTTTTGGTGTTTTGATGTAAGGAAAGTGTTTGGTGGTGTATGATGTGATGATCAAAGGTGGTGAAGATGAAAAACCTTTAGTTTCAATGAAGAAGATGAAGATGGTTCATGGTGTTCTTCATGTAGCTTCTTGTTTGATCTTGGTGTTCTTCACTTGGCTTCTTGTTTGATCTTGGTGTTCTTCATTTAGCTCCAGGGATTTGGCTTTGTTCTTGAGGAGGATGAAGATTTGTGATGTTCTTGGGAGAGTTTGTTGTATGTAGCAGTGTTACAAAAATCACAAATGAACACACACTCACACACAAACTCACGTGTACATATATATGAGAAACTAAATATCTTCTTCACTTGAGTGAACTTTGAAGTGTAAGATGCAAGTTGATGTAGAGCTAGAGCAAAAAACGTGGGAATGGCTTTTGCTTCTCATCTTTGACTATTCAACATATATACATATATAATACATATATACATATATAATACATACATATGTATATAATACACACACACATATATATATATATATATACATATATATATATATATATATATATATATATATATATATATATATTGTTGAAATTGTTTAGTCACACATATGTGTTTTCGTCATTCGCGTGTTTTCGTATTTTCCGTTTTATCACGCATTTATGCAACCTGAAATAACTGATAATATTTGTTAGATTGTATAAAAATAGTTCATCTTATTTCAGTTATGGTCACATACAAGGTTACATAAGAACATTTTTCAACAAATATATTTATATATAAATTAAATTTGCGTTTAATGTCTCATAATAGAAATAGAATATCATATACAAAAAGTGCAATCCATTGCATAAAATTTGATGTCATACAATTCTATTTCTTACAATATCTAAATTTGCATCTAATCTACTCTGTACATCAAATTCCAACTAAGTAAAGTTGCATCTTGCCTTTCATAATTATTTAAGACTAATGCTCCAAGGAGCTGATTATATGGATAAACAGTTGTACATTGGCCCATCTCACTCAAGAATGACTTAGCCAAATTCAACTCCAAGTCTTTACTGCATCTTGCTGATAATGCTGCAAGATTTGAATCAAGTGGCTTCATATTCCTTTCTTCCATCAACTTTAGCTGATGCATAAAATACAAAGAATTAGAAAAACATTGTAGAGGAAGGGGTGATTTGGGAAAATGTGAGGGGTATCCTCTGCAAAACAAAAAAAAAAATATCCTTTGCAAGATTTTCTCTTTAGTATTCTCTGCAAAACAAAACAAAAAATATATATCAAAAAATTAAATTTTTATAGTTTTATATTATAATTATGCCTAGAGTATTGCATACCTGAAGAACCATTTGTTAGCTCTACAACACTTTTTGAATCTGAACCTTGTCTTTCATCACTAACTCTAGCACCTTTTGTAGCCCCTAGGACTCCGCATAAAAGTTAGAAAAACTAAATATTTCAAAAATAACCCTAAGACTGTTTTTGTCCCAGAATCTGAATTAAACCACAAGTGATGCTTCGATTTCTTTGTTTCTTGCAACTTCAACATGAATTGTTCTAATGTTGTATGTGTAAAGTTTCACACTTTACAGGAGATTCTTGGGGAAGGAAAGAAGGTTAAGCTTGAACAGAAGGTAATTTCATATCATATGCTTTTGTGTTTTAAGGGTTAAATGAATCATTTCAAGATTTGAAAATTATTAAAAAAATGTTATAATTGTAGAAAAACAATTGATAACCTTTTAAAATCTTGGGAGCTAAAATATATCCAATTAAAACAATGAAAATGTGATTTTGTTTTTTGTTTTCAATGTTGTAGTAGTAGGAAGAGATGAAAGTTTGATATAATAAACAAATCACTAAAAGTAGGTTGCTATTTCTTAAAAAGTAATTCAACTTTGGCATATTATAGCTTACCTTCTCTGTTAGTGGCAACTACAATGAGTTCTTTCACGGCTATATCAACAACTTTGGATACAAAATCAGAACTCTGCATGGATTTTTTATAAAAAGGATTAAATAATCACTTAAATAAAATAACTGAAAGTTTATTGATGGATTCCAAATAAGGTTGTGTGATTATAGATAGAGTTGAATGCTGGAAACGATTGAATCTCAGGGTACTCAATCAAAACTCTAAGATTTGCTCACGATAAAAATCCAAAAAAATAAATTAAAAATTAAAATTAGTATGTGAATTATGATAACTAATTTTAAATTTAATAAAAATAATATGAAGAAGCAACTCACATAGATGAGAGTACATCCCTTTTCCAGGACCACTAGCTGAAAAGGATCCACCTCCCACTATTGTCTTTCGGTCTCTTCAAGCAGATATCCTTCTCTTTATGAGCAATACACAAAACAATACACATCTTGCTGATAATATATGCATGTTCATTTTTATCAATTCCAAAGTCCAAACGGATTCTAGAATCCAAATACCAAGCAGCTCATCAAAAAGCTTTAAAGGATCAAGAGCTGCAAGTTGGAAGATTAACATTTCGGGAGCTATATTAGTGTGTGAAGAAGTATATAAAAAATTAAGACATTTTTTTTAATCTTTAAAAAAAGTTTTTGAACATATACATACTACTTTGCGATTTCTGCATCCGAAAAATAAAACCGATGATCCAAGTTGGGATCTGGATTCCTTTAGGGCTAATCTTTCTTGAAGGAAACCCCTAAAAGGAGCCAATCCGGTTCCTGGACCAATCATAATAATTGGGATTTTAGGATCAGATGGAAGTCTGAAATTTGATGTTCTAAGAAAAATAGGTGCCCAACTACAATCTTCACTTTCTGTCATTGGCACTGCATTCTGAAAAATAAAACCATAAACTTCAAATCTCATGTTTACCCTTTTGGTTGCTATTTATAGGAAGAAAAGAAAAAGTAATTGATAATTGATAATTGATAATTGATAACTAATACCTTCATCCAGGTGGAACAAACTCCTTTGTGGGCACGTCCTGATGGTGTTTTCTCATACACTAATGCACAAGTAACATGAATCCTTTCTGGTGTCATTTTGTAAGATTAATAACATATTAATATTATTACATTCTTGAATTATTATTTTAATAAATAAAATCAAGATTTTGGAAATAAACTTACTTAGGGGAGGAAGAAATTGAGTAGTATCTGGGATGTAAGCGAGGGGCAACAGATGCAAAGAAAACACCAAGTGGAGGTTTAGCTGAAGGGAAAGCCTCCATGACTTCAAGAAGTCTTCTTTGGCTTGACACTATCCACTGAGCATATTCATCCTGAACAATATTTATCCAACAAATAAATAAATAAATAAATATATAACATCACTTTTCATATTAAGAAAAAGAAATCCCAAACCTTTCCAGCACGAGATGCAAGGGATTTCAGTCTCTCAGCTTCATCAGGATCAGTAGCATGAGCAGCTAGGGCAAGTAAAGCAGACTGGAATAAATAAGCATCAAGAATTTGTTAAGTTTAAATTCAGATAATAATTATTGAAATAATAAATAGTACATTGCTAGACCTTAGTGGTGGGCCGACATTTTCACCACATTTACAACCACCCCCACCCCCAATCTGTCCCAGCTTCTCGAACCTTAACCTAAAACAAAACAAAGACGAATATAACCCTATCATTTTCTCAAGTATTTGACACTACCCCAAGTACAATCTCAATTTTATGAATAAGTTGATGAACAAACACTTCGTTGAACTCAAACTCTTCTTCATGATCATGGGAGCCATGATGACCTCCCTCCACCAATGACTCATCTGTCCTTTCAAGTGCCACGTAAGAATCACCTTGGTGTGCCTGGAACAATAAATAAAGTATATAATATGGTCTTTAAATATTTATCAAAAAATATAAACATGGTTAAAAAAATAAAAAGAACATGACATACCCTGTTATGATGTGCCTTTAAAATGAAAGGCTTGGGTAGCAGCATCCATGGGACAACAATTGGATCCAAATCCAATATGAAACCAGGCATAACGAAACCCAGTTTGCAAAAATTGGTCGAAGTTGGTCCAATCTAATCAGATTTCATTAATCAAGATTTATACCAATTCTTTCAGTCTTCCCTTCCTAATTTAGTCAAAGGCTGCAGATGGGTCTTGTTGTATAGGTAATAATATCCTCATAATTTGTACAAAATTCTCCATTTTTTAATCCTTTTTAAATTTGTATTTACTTTTTGTTTCCAATTAATTGGCAGTACTGCAAGACATGGCATATCAGTTCACACACTTATTCAGAAAAGCATTGATCTTTCTGGCCCTTGTTTGCTGGTAAGCTTAAGGGCATTAACGTCTTTTTCCACATATGTAGCTTTCAAGGGCTATTTTCCAGGATCAGATTGTTTAGTTGTTTGGGATGTCAAAAACGTGTAGATGAATGACAGACAATTGAATATTAGTAGCCTAGCCTTTATATCATCAAAACAAGCAGGAACTATCAGGACATTATACTTTCTGATATCTAACAAATTATAAATAGCATTAAACTGAAAAAATTGAAAGACAGGGGATGGAAGCAAAACAGAAAGTGCTATTTGTACCTGGTAGATCTTTCAAGACATAAAGAAACCCATGAAAAGGAATTTACTGGCTTCTGAATACCTCGTTAATCAAAACAGAAAAGGCTGGAGGTGTTGATCATAAGTATTTCAGCTAACCATCAAGGGCAATAATGCCTTCTGTTTCTTTTCTTCTTTCCTATCAATTTCACAACCCCAATTGTACTCCTTCTTCACTGTCAAATGAAGCAAACAAAAAAAAAATCCTTTTAATTTTCGATGTTTTATTTTCCCAGTAAACTCAAACACCCAAACATCCCAGTATTCATTTATACTGGTCGACACAAACAAAAAAAAGAAAAAAGAAGAAGAATACGACCAGTGAGGTTCACGAAAACCCCATCTGTTTACATTCAATCACTGAAGACCACCACAACTTCATTCTTCTTCTTCCTTCTATCTATCCAAACCCCAGAGGTCCTCCCATTTGCTCTCAACGATCACTGGAGATGGAGTAGCATCCGGCGAGACCAAGAGAGGCCCCCATTGTTTTCATCGATTAGGCCTCCACCCAAACCTTTCCTCCCTCCGTTTATTTCATCGAAATCAGACAAGAAACCGACTCATTTACCCCGATTTTCACCGATGGTGGAGTCTAAGAAGCCAAGGAAGGCTCAACGGGAACTGATAATTTCCTCCTCCTCCTCACGAATAGATCGATCGTCTTGATCTACCAGTCGCTACTTTCCCTGCTCCAGCGGACTAGTTGAGTCCCCTCCCTACGTGTAATCTGCTGGCAACAAGGAAGAACAACCAAGGAGACTGCTGAAGCGTCCCCCCTCCCTTGCTACGGCAGACAAGAGAAGCGTCGCTGCTTCTCCCTTTTCCTTTCGTCAAATCGATCCCACAGTAGAGGTGCTTCCTCTTTCTTGATAGATTTCCATCATCGAGCCACCATGGCTGCTTGCGTTCCCATCTTCCTTGCTCATTAGATGAACCATGACCACCTGACGAAAACTCCCGCTACCTTCGTCATTCTGATTCCCCTTTTTCGATTTATGTGTGGGGATTAAGAAACAAACGAGAATCAAGATTTTAATTCTTAATATTGAGAATTGAGAGTATAATACTGAATTAGGGATTTTTCTGAGAATTTCAACATCGAGTAGGAGATATGGTGGTTCCAGTGGGTACAAGTAAATGAGCCTTGATCGATGTCAACGAACGGGGAAGAATCAGTGTCGGTGGTCAGAGTGTAAGGGAAAGAAGCAAGCAACACTCGATGTAGGGAGGCGGAGGAAGATCGGAGATGATTTTTGTGGTCAAAGAACACACCCAGAGCTAAAGAGGGCAAACAAGGAAGGAAGGCGGGTTTTCTAATTTTTTTTTATTTCCTTTTTCCCGCAGCTAGTTGCGAGCGCATTTGTAAAATTATAAAGCGACATTTCTAGACGACACACCTTTAACATAAGCGCCCTCCGTGTTTTTTCTGTGACACACTAATTCTAGGGCACGCAAAAATACGCATCCAAAATTCTTTAAATTTCTAAAGATCTGACATTATTTTTAGGGCACGCCCTTTTGCGTATCATTAAACAGTGCGTGTTGTAAAAAGCGTGTCATTAAAGGTCTGTTTTCTAGTAGTGTAAAATAATATTCTTCGATGAAAACGGGATGTTTTCTAAAAAATCGGGCTCCACACGGGCATAGTTTCGGCTCGATAATTCTTTTTCTCGGGATCTTCGGAACTTCAAGACTTGCTTCGGGTGTTGGGGATCATACCGGGACCTCGGGGCTTAAAAGTAGCTAGAGAAGTAGTAAAGAGTGAGACAGAACACATTTTGTAAACAAAATCACGGATAGTCTCGCACCCTTTTTTAGGTGGCTGCTTGTAACAACCCGGATTTCCAGGTATTATTTATTCTTATAATTTTTGGTGTTTTGTGAGGGGACTCAGCGAGTTGGAGCTCAAACTCGCTGAGTATGATCGCGGTTTTGGCCTGGGTTCACGTCTGGACTCGGCGAGTCCAAAAGGTAGACTCGGCGAGTCCACACTGTTTAATGAAACCCTAATTTCCGGGGTATGAGACCTATTTAAGGGGGCTTATGGCCGTCATTTGCGGCCACCAACCCCAGAGAGAACCCTAAAGATTCCTTGGGCGTTTTGTGAGAGAGAGGAGGAGGATCGTTGGCTAATTGTGGGTGTTTTTGCTCATAGAAGAGGATCAAGGCAAGAGGAGACCAAGGGAGGTGCTAATCCAGTGATTTCTGAGCTCAGAGACTTCATTTGAGGTAACCATTCATTCCTATCTCAGTCCTTGGTGTAAATCTAAGAGTTAGGGTTTCTTTGTGGAAAGATCCATGGAGTAATTGGCCTCTTCTTGTGTTGGCACTTTAGATCTGGACCCAAAGAGGTCCAGAGACCCTTTTCCCTCGAGCTTTATGGGTGTTAATGGAGGCCAAGAGCCTAGAATGGCATTCTAGAGACCACATCATCAAATAAGGCCTTTGGACCTTTGCATGAGCACCAAGATTGTAACTTTACGTGATGTATGTGCTTGAAAGGACTGGATCTATGGGTTATTGGAACGGATCTGACCTCAGGAGTGAGTTTGAGTTCATGCATGGGATAGACTCGCCGAGTCCGAAGAACAGACTCGGCGAGTAGCATGAAGATTGTCCATAACATCTTTGCGAGTGGTCTTGCCGAGTTAAGGGTTGACTCAGTGAGTCAGGAAGAGTCAGAGAGGGTTGACGAGTGGACCGAGTCAAGCTGGAACTCGCCGAGTTGTTCTTGAGACTCAGCGAGTTGAGTCGTGGTGGCCCCACGATTCATGCCAGGTGGAACTCGTCGAGTCAGGGAAGTACTCGACGTGTCAAGAGAGGATCGTAGGGAGTCAGTGAGCACGTATAGACTCGCCGAGTCGTTCTAATGCACTCGCCGAGTCCGGTCAAAGTTGAACATTGACCAACGTTGACCAGTGTTGACTTGATGGGGGAAGTCAACCTTAGTTGTGAAAGTGTTAATTGGATATATATATATATATATATATATATATATATATATATATATATATATATATATATATATATATATATATATATTGTGTTATAGGAGGATTATAGCTCGGGGGATCGAGCGCGAGTGATTTTCGGGATTTTGCGAGTTAGCGAAATACACGAGGTGAGTCTTCTCACTATACTTTACCTTGAGTAGGTAACCAGAGTTATGTGAAAGAGTATTTGTATGCTATGTATGTTATGTGTTGTACTGCATTATTTCTATGTGATTTATGCTGTGCATGTTTACAGAGTTAGAACATGAGGGTTCATAGAGTTTGGGTGCACGGACCCACAGAGTTATAGCCTCGAGTGGCTAATATGTGTTATATGTGGTATTTTGGGGAACTCACTAAGCTTTGTGCTTACAGTGTTTGGTGTTATTTGTTTCAGGTACTAGTGACGACCGTGGGAAGGCGCCGACTTAATCAGTACACACGCATGGGATTTTATTATTATGTGATCTTGGGATTTTTGTATAACTTGGATTAAATTTTAAACATGGGTGTTTTTATGAATATTAAGGGAATTATGTTTTATAAAATTTGAAAAATTTGTTTTGAAATTTACGGTGTTACAAGTTGGTATCAGAGCCTTGGTTTGAGGGATTCGGGTACACCTTCGGGGGTATTTGAACTCAAACTGAGGATTTGGAAAATATTTTCAAAAGAGAACCAAATTTTATGAAAGAAGTAAAAGATTTTTAGAGAAAATCAGAGCAGAAAGGTGTGTACGATCAGTCAGCGCCCGGACGGTGATTTCCCAAAATACCCTTATATTATATGTTTATGAGATTGATATGATGTATTCTCTTACTAGATCAGGCTAGGTATTCCTATTAGGACTAGAGTGCCCTGATTTGTGATGCCTTAGCCTAGGGGAAAGTGAGCTGCTATGAGATGCTTGAGAGTGAATAGGTAGCAACGAGGAGCTTATGAGAGATCTGTTAGAGAGTGATACAGTACTTGGGACTTGGAGCCTGAAGAGGAAGATTTGAGGTGTATACTGAAATGGTGTGGACAGTAGTATTGAGCCTGTACTACTGAAAACACCGGAGCGGTGTACAGTTCAGATAAGAACCTTCGGAATGCCAAGGATCAAGGAGGGAAGAGTTGTCGAGTGTGAGTATGCTCGAATGGATTCTAATTTATCGTATGTTGTATTTCAGAGGTTGATCATGGTGAGGACACGTCATATGCCAGAGGGCAGTGGGGCTAGTGATGAGGAGATCCGTCAGATCATCCACGAGGAGGTGGCTGCGACCATCAGGGCAGAGATACCAGAGATGTTCGGGTCTATTAAGACCACGCTGATTGATACTTTCGACGAGCGTTATGCTGCTCTTTCTGAGGCTGCTGTTGCGGCGGCCACTGCAGCTGTTGCTGCTGGAAGGGCGCGGGGTGGTTATGCGTTGC